ACTAGATTAGGTAAAATAAGTAATAATAATAATATAATTAAAATGATTCACGAGGCACACATGCGAGCAGCTAGTGGGTAATTTAATTCTATAGTGTAACGTGAGCTGCACATTCCCCGAGTGATTTACAACTTATAATGGTGGGGAGTTAGACACAGTTCAAACTGCAATAAAAAGGGCAATAAAACAATAAAATTTAATTATAAATAGATGTATAATGTTATGAACTTGGAACTACTTATGATAAACGAATGTAGTTTCATGTTACAATTTGAAGTCATTCTAGAAAGAAAAGAATTTATTTTTGGTGGTTACGAGGTCGGTCTAATTGACTGATCCCGTTTTGAGATAGGGTAGAGAAAATAACATATAAACTATAAGGATTTAATAAAAAAAAACGTTTGAAATGCATTTAGGAGGTTTTTAGGGATTACACAAAAGAAATTTGAGATTTTTGAGATGACAAAAAAGTATTTTTGATTTTAACGTGAAAATTACTTTGCACATGGATTATTCAAAACAAATACTCAATATATTCATGGACAAAACTTTATTTTATGTTATTAAAAATACTTCACTAAGAAATATGACTTTTTGAATGTGAAAGACTTGTAATATTAACTGAAAGACTGCCAAATTTCGTGAAGATATACCCAATATATAGAGAGTTATAAGTATTAAATTTATATCAACTTTAAACAAGTTCAAAAGGTCACTTGACTAGATCAAATTGACCAACCCCGTGTTGAGAGAGTTGATAGTATATAAGTTTTAAGTTCTTACTTTTATAAAGCAATATATAAAAAAATCTAGAATTTCCCCTAGTGTGAGAATTATGACATCTACTCTCAAGGTACTCATCTTTTATGATTTATTTACCACCCCTCCAAGAAGTATGAAATTTAATGTAAATTACTCATTGTAATATTGTTATTGGTCAGCCAAAGTATCATATTCATAGCCTTAAATCTTGTTTGGTTACACAGCTGTGAAATTGAAAACCAGACCCCTCTTGCCACACCCACCTTTCAAAAATTGCTAATAGTTCTCTCTGATGTTCAATGCTATAGTATTTATAAGGAATAGAAAGCCAGAATTTTCATCTGTCAATTGACATTGTATTACGTTGTTTTGTGTAAAAAGAATTGTCAGTTTTGCTTTTGGTTCAAGCTTGATTCCTATGGGAAATGCATTGACAAGCTTAGATAAAATTTTAACAGCTCTTGTCAAATAGTTAGAAAGCCAGAAAAATTGTGATAGTTATGGGACATTGTCTGCTTTTTGCATGCTATTTTTCTGTGTTCTTGGGTGCATTTTTCAATTAAATAAAAATATATTTATTGCAGTACTACCATAATTATAAAAAAGTAGGGTTAAGTGTCGTTGCAACCAAAAAAAAACCCAAGTAAATAATTTTTTGTTTTTTTATGTATATTTCTTATTTATCATTATAAAAGTAACTGAAATGTAAGAATAGTAAACTTTTTATGTTAGTTAAGGTTAGATTAGGTGAAATAAATAATAATAACAATATAATGAAATATTTTCACAGGATATGTTTGCATGTAGCTCGTGTGTAATGTCATTAAATAATGTTACATGAGCTGCATGTTTGCCAAATGATTTACAACTATAATGACACAAATAGTAGTTAGGGTTCAAAGGGCAATAAAACAGTAAAATTTAAATGTAAATAGATGTACACTATTATGGGTTTAAAGCTATTTAGGATAAACAAACTTATTTTCATGTTACAATTTGAAGTCATTCTGGAAAGAAAAAAGGGTAATTTAAATTTATTTAATTTTTTTTTGGGTGGTTATGAGGTCAGTCAAATTGACCAACCTTATATAGTTAGGGTAAAGCAAATAACAGATAAAATATAAAGTTTTATAATTATTTAGAAAGTTTTAGAGATTAAGCAAATAAAATTTGGGATTTTTGAGACTAAGAAAAGTATTTTTTATCTTAACATGGAAATCACTTTGCACTTAGACTAGTATGTAGAAATACTATATATATATATATATATTCACAGACAAATCTTTAGTAATAAAATATCATTAAAAAATCTGATTTTTGTGTACAAAGACCTGTAATGTTTACTAGAAATTTGCCAAATTTTGTGAAGATATACAAATTGTATTAAAATATATAGTATGGAAAATACAACGAGTATAAAAGTGGTTAATAGGTCTGTCAATTCAACTAACTTTGTTGCGAGGGAGTTAATTTGTATTCATTCAGAAGAAATGCTATAGCCTGTCTTTAGGTAATTTATATTTATTCAATAGAAATGCTATAGCCTTTTGATAGTTAATCTGTATACTTTCAGTAGAAATGCTGGAGCCCTTCTGTAGATAATTTGTATTCATTCAGTAGATATACTCTAACCCTTCTGTAGTTAATCTGTATTTGCTCAGTAAAAACGCTCTAGCCATTCTGTAGTTAATCTAGAAATATTC